CCCCCCCGTTTCTCGCCTCACTTCGCAGCACTTCGCCGGACCGCTCAATCGCGGTAAACTTTGACATTCCTCGCACGCTCGTGTCTTACTTGCACCGATGGCCTTTACCGGCCTGTAAGAATATTTCGGGCCGCACAATCGGCGTCGAGCTTTATAATTACGCGCCGCGAACCGAGTGCGATCTTTTTTCTATTCTCGCGCGAAAAGAAAACAAACTTGTTCCGCCGATGAGACATCCGGTGAGAACTTTTTTTTCAACTGAAACATCTCTTTTTGCGATACGTCGTTTTCATAGAAAAAAGGTCGCCAGTGAAAAAAGTCGTTTTGTCGTTGGCGACCAGGCGGGTAGCCCGGTACTCTTTAGCTTTCCCTCTCGAAATAGAACAGAGCGCGTTTCGGAACGGTAGACGCGCGCGTAATGTGCGGTCTAATAGCCCACGATTTATCACCGGCGGCTTAATAGGCCGCACGATTTTTTCACAAACCGCATTCTTTGTGACTAAACGTCTCTGGGTCAACGCGCACACACACACACAAACGAAGCGAAGCTGAGTCACAGCGAGGGCGAGTTATTTAGCGCGTGTACTTTCGTCCCGCTATCAGCTGGCAATGTGCGGCGAACGCGAGGCTCGTATCGTCAACTTTCCTCCGCGCCGTTTCCGCAAGGCGATAGGCGATTTCGCTTTCGTCGGTGGTGACGACCGCCGGAGCGAATCCACGCTGACGTCGGCGAAGCCACACCACCCCGACAAGAGACGTGCCGATCCACGGTAACTCACGCGGTAATATAGGAGGGCCGTTTCTATCCGAAGTTTATCTCCGAAGAAAGATCGCCCCATTTACCTAGATTCGAAGTTACCAGCCGCGAACGAAAGTGAAGCATACATATTCATGAGATTACGACAAAAGCGCCGGGGAACGCCGGTGTCTCCCGATTGTTCCGTACATTGCTTAAGGTTTGTCTGTCGATGGTTACACCAAAGACGCCGTTCTTTCAAAACCGGTGAGACTCAGCAATGGTATTATTAGAACGTAACGTCGGGCTACTAAATAAATAATTACATAAATAATTGTTATAATTCGTCACCTAATAACGGAGATGTTAAGGGGGATTATAATACCTACAAAAGTCATAATACCACCTTTTCTTAATAAATGTTTTAATTTAATAATAATATGATTTAATGTTTTTAAGCAATA